ATAGTCCACCCAAAAACCTTAAAATTTTCCTAAAATAAAACTGTGCGTTTTGAAGAAAACTAAAAATCGCAGACTCTGCCAGGCAACGAATTCTCAAGGGTTTATCGCTGCGGCGAAGAAAGAACTTCTCCGCAACGAACCTTGTTGAACACTTTTGAAATTATGAAATTGCCCTCCGCTTACTCCTTGCTTGAATCTTCGATCTTCGATGCTTTCCAATGGGAACAAGCTTCATAGTGCTTCAAATCCGCTTTAGAACTTCTCTGAATTTTGAGATTCGCTCGCTTCGGGTCCAGGAACTCGATTCTGCTCATTATTTGCTCAAAGTGCACATTTTGGCTTGAAACATAAAATATGTGAAATTAAGTTGCAATTCAGGCAAAAACGGCATAAGAAGTATCCAAAATCCGGCCAAAAAGCCTAAATGAAACAGTATAATCCTCGAATTATCAGGAAGTTGATATCAGGTCGAGTAAGGGTGAGATATTGTAGTGCACCTATGATACTTCTGTAGAGGTTGGGATTTTCAAACAATTCACTGTCATTACGACTAAGCTTTGTACCAATTGCCATGGGTGTGAAGCAGGGATTGGCTTCAAGTATTTTTGTCTTAAGAAGTAAATCAGATGCATATTTAGACTGTTTGAGGTGAATTCTAGTAGAGGATCTAGTTGCTTCCACTCCTAAAAATTACTTAAGAGAGCCCAAGGTTTTGAGTGCAAACTGATCATTTAACTTTTTAACCAAATGAGTGATATAGACTGAATCTGATCCTGTGAGAAGTATATCATCCACATAGACCAACACATAGATAAAACCACAATCCAACTTGAGACTAAAAAGCCTAGAATCAAAAATTGAATTTCTGAACCCCTTGGCTTGAAGAGCATTTTTAAGCTTGTCAAACCAGGCTCTAGGAGCCTGTTTAAGTCCATACAAGGCTTTATTCAATTTACACACAAAATAAGGGTGAGTAGCTGATTCAAATCCCATAGGTTGCTTCATGTAAACTTTCTCATTCAAGGTGCCATTCAGAAATGCATTATTTACATCAATTTGTTGTACATCCCAAGAGTTTGTAACAACTAGGGTCAGGATAATTCTGATAGTAGAGGGTTTGATGACTAGACCAAAAGTTTCGAAATAGTCCAAGCTTGGTGTTTGTTGAAAACCCTTAGCCACTAAAACGAGCTTTATACTTTTGCAAGGTGCCATCTGCATGAAATTTAGTGCGAATGACCCACTTATTTCCCACAATGTTCATATTAGCTATAGGTGACATAAGGGTCAAGGTGTTGTTGTGAACAAGTGCATCAAATTCTGTTTTCATGGCTTCTCTCCAAGTAGTGCTAGTTAAAGCTTCAACAACTGTTAAGGGTTCTAGTTCTATAACAGGCTGACTTTGTGTAAGATAGGCAGTGTGAGGTAGAGCAGCATCACTGTCAGTAGAGAAACCAGTTGTTGACTTGGCTCTTGTGATCATGGGGTGATTATTAACAACATATTTGAGCTGAATATTTGTGAACTGTGATGGATTTAGATCAACTTCAAGTGTGCAGTTGGGTAAGAGACAGTTGGAAGGGATAATGGGAAGATTAGAAACTGATTGGGAACTAACTAATGGAGTTGAATTTGGAGAGGAATGGGTAATATGTAAGTTTGGTAATTCAGAGGCAGTAGGTAAGGCTGGTGAGGAGGTATTTGGGACTGTTGTAGTAGGATATGAGGTAGTTTTTGATAAGGGTTTGGAGGACTGTAAGGCTGGTGAGGAGGTATTTGAGACTGCTATAGTGGGATGTGTATAAGGTTGAGGCAGTGAAGTAGATGGATGACTAACTACTGTATAATGTAAAGAGGACTGAGGTTGAAAGCCATTTGTTGGAGGGGGAGCAGAACCAGCTGGAGAACAAGAATCATGAACAATAACACATGGAAATTCGAAAGGGTTTGGAGTGTAGGAACTAACTAAATAATCAGAATTATGACCAGATACACCAGCATCAGAATCATGACCAGAGACACCAGCAGTATTTTCAAACCGATTATCTAAAAAAAGGAACTCACTTTCGTTAAACTTAACACTAGGGGAAACAAAAAATTTTCCATCAGCTCTTAGACACTTGTATCCTTTGTGTAGCAAGCTATAACCGACGAACACACATTTAGAAGAATGGAAATCAAATTTGTGACTATTAAAATTGCGAAGAAAAGGAAAGCAAGCACAACCAAATACTCGAAGACTATCATAAGAAGGAATTTGCTTGAAAAGTTTAAAGTAGGGTGTGTTATTCTGAAGTACATAAATAGGCATTCTGTTGATAAGAAAAATTGCTGTTTCAAAGGCTAACCACCTATATTTTAAAGGCATGGATGCATATGCAAGTAAGGTAAGACCCGTTTCGACTATATGTTTATGTTTGCGCTCACTTCTACCATTTTGCTGGTGAACATGAGCACAAGAGAACCTAATTTGTATACCATTATCGTGGAGATAAGGAAGAAGAGCTTTATATTGTCCTCCTTGATCAGTTTGAAGACACTTTAGTTTAGTGCTGAATTGCCGTTCAACAAGATGATGAAACTTAATAAAAATTGACTTAACCTCAGCCTTTGTCCTAAGTGCAAATAACCAAGTGAATCTACTAAAGTCATCTTGGAACTGAACATAATATTTAAAGCCCTTTGTGGAAGAGACAAGGGTTGGTCCCTACATATCACTGTGTACCAAGGCTAGAGGTTCAAGTGCATGGGATTGGGAAATGGGAAAACTATTTTGATGCAACTTGCCAAGTTGACATGCGTCACAAAATGAGAAAGGTGGTGGAGACAATTTGTGAAGCTGAGACAGTGATGCAGTTTTGGGAAAAGTAGATAAAATTTGCTGAGGTACATGAGCATAAGGGTGTTCTAACCTCTTGTGCCAAATTATGTACTGATGAGGCTGCTTACTTATACTTAAACAATGGTTTTTTGTAATGCAGTCCAGATTATTATGAATGCAATCAAGATTAGAGGTTGAAATAGCATGTTTGTAATTGGCATAATCCAAAATGAGATTACAATCAAGATTGATTTTTGAAATGTTAGAAGTGCATACATCAGTAGAATTGGAAGTTTGAACACAATCATTGGTCTAAACACAACCAGTAATTTTATTTAAAACAACAGAATCATATGTTTCAGAATGAGAAGTTATATTTTCATTATTCAATATAGAAGCAAATGTGTCCTTCTCAATGTGTAGAGTAGAAACAGGTTGGTTGCTCTCCAAATTTGATATAGACACTGGTGACTTATTATCAATAGAAACATTACAAAATATACTATCACTCGATTGATTGTTATTAGGACTACTAGACACTGGAACTATTGGAAACTTAGAGGAGAGTTGTAGAGTAGTAGAAAAATCAGTAGCAGGCAACATAGTTTGTGCATTCGCAGTAAAACTTTAGGACGGACAAGAGGTAGACATTGGCAAAGCAAAGGGTCTGTATGGAATATCCAGTTGACAAAGACCTTCTTTAAGTCCCCCTTGCAACAATATGGCTCTTGAGGCTTTCTCCTTTACAACACAACAATTAGCATCAAACTCTACAACCACATTATTATCTTTTGTAAACCTAGAGATACTAAGGAGATTTTTAGTGATTTTGGGTACACAGAGGATATTCTTCAAATGCAAACACTTGGCATGAAAGTTATTGGGAAAAAAAAGTTATATGTATGGGAAATGGGAAGATACTCACCACTGCCTACTTGTAGCTGTTCCTCACCATCATAGTTCTTGCAAATATTTAGGTTATTCAAGTTGGAGGTTACATGGTCTGTTGCACCAAAATCCATGTACCATGCAGGGTTTGTGGGTGTAAAATGTGTGGCTATAGGATGGACTTGCTGAGTGTGAAGCACTGTTGAATTAGGATGAGTAACTCCAAGCTGTGAACCAAGAAAAACAGCTCCAGGCTGTGAACCAGGAAAAACAGTTGGTCCTGAACCAGTTTGGACTAGGACCTGATGGCTGTTGACTAGGGACTCCAAACGTAGGAGTATTCAAATCAGAGTACTGAGAGTTAGGATAATGCTGATGATCAGAAAAGACAGTCTTCTGTGGACCAATATTGGGAGAACCAATGTATTGGGAATTATGGTACTGTAAGTTTCCAGAGTAAGCATTCTGCTGTCCAGGAAAAGAATTCTGCTGTGAGGGAACATTAGAGGGTGGATGATCATTATAGTTGGAATTGAACCTGTGATAACACTGGATAGCCGAATGTCCTGCCTTATTACAGACTTGGCATATAATTCTTCCTCTGCCAGTGCCTCGACCTCTGCCTCTTCCTTGGACAAGAGGTCTTGATCCATATGTGTTGGGGGCTCCATAATGTAGGAATGATTGGGTAGGATTGGAGAAGGTATTTTGTTGAAAAGGAATTTGAGTAAGACTGAGGACTGATATATGTTTGTGGACAGTGTGATTCCCCAGGGATATCAATGAAGGAACATTACTGGACTAATTATTTTCAGAGACTTTTGCTACATTATGGTTTGACTGATTATTCACATTAGAGACATTATAACATCATGGGTTATGAACTGAAGCCACATGTGCTGAGGAGTTATAAAGGTCCACATAATTGAACTTTTCCAACCTTATTTCATACTTTTACAACAAGAATTGGGCTTCTTACAAAGAAACAGTATCAACCTTGGACTCTAATCTAGACGTGAGTGTGATTACCACAACATCATATTCAGGACTCAATCCATCCAGTACATATTGTAACAGATCTTCATCAGACACAACTAATCCACTAGCAGTTAGACTTTCCAAAATATCTTTCATTTTCTTTACATACTCTCCAATACTTAGATCCCATTTGTGTGTAGTTTGCAAAAGGTTTTTAAGATGTAAAGCCCTAGCGTTTGAATCTGTAACAAATTCATTTTCTAAAGCTAACCAAATTTCAGTGGAACATCTACACTTAGATACAGAACCAAACATGCATTATGAAATTGAAGCTAATAACCAACTTATTATGAGCTTATCCGTTCGTTTCCACAAGACAAATGCTGGATTAAGACTTTCACCAACAGTACTACCAGCTCTATTTTGTCCTAGCTTATTTGTAATATCAGAATCAGAAACTAAAATTGGGGGAGGACAAGGAGCCCTACGTAATAGGTGGTCCTTCAAATCGTGTGAGCCAATAGCAGAAATGACTTGTGAACTCTAGAATCGGTAATTATTCCTCGTTAATTTGGGATTGATGACTTGCAAGCTTACGGCAAGTGCTGTGGTGGTTTGATTCTACAATACTAGCATCGTTCTTGCTGTGCTGTTAAGCGTCTTCGAAGAATCAAGATCGGTAGCCATTGACGTGAGTCACGGCTCTGATACCACGTGAATAAACTGAAATTAGTTTAAGAAAAACAAGAAAGGCACAAGGCTAATCAAGAAATGCTTTTCGATTTCTTGTTACTGTAACTGAATATCTGAATGAATGAAAATACACGAGTGTCTTCTCCTCTTTTTATACAACACTTAGAAACTCAGCTCAGTCTACTTAGTAGAAGCTGAGCTTATTTAATACAAAGACAAAACGACGACGCTTTGACAAATGTTGAAGAGCTCATTCACTTTTTCAGTTTCGCAGCTGCATCCCTTTTTACCAACATTTTAAGCATGAAATTTCACTTCTTTACTAAAATGGTTTATGATAATACTCTAGCTTTTGTGAATACTGATTTTTTGTTTGAAGCAATTGCCTAGTGTGCAAAGACTATTTATTGTGGAGAATGGTATATTAAATGCTGGTATTGTGCCTTTTATTTTTATTTTGAGATTCATTGGATTCAACTCATGAACTTACCATCTTGGTCACCGAGAATAATTTAGCTTTAGATAGTGGGTAAACTGTATTCATGCATCAGTTCAACAATCGCTGGTTTACAATGTTTTATGGCTTTTCTTGTTTCTTCATGTAGCCTCTTAAATATTTATTCTCTTGATATTCTTTATTTTTACTTTTTATTCTTTGTTTATTTATGATTGGTTTGATGGTGATGTGGTGGATTTAGAAATGGATGATGGTGGTCACGGGAATCTTGATCGAATCGGGCATTAGTTTGTTGATTTGATAATGTGGACAGATGTTGCAAAGTCGAGCCTTTGGTTTGGTCTTGGATGTTTATGTTTCTTGTCTTCTTGTTTTACAAAAGGAGTCAGCTTTAGGTGTGTATTTCTTATTCTCTCTACTGTCTTTTCATTTACATTCTGTTTTGTGTTTTGATTAATTAGATATCTAAATCTTTACACTTCCATGATATAAGCATCTTTTCAGCGATTTCACAACTTGGTCTTCTATTCTTGGGTGCTTCATTCTTCTCAAATTCAATTTTGCAAAGGTACAAATCCAATTTGTCTTATCATGTTATCTTCCCATTCATTCTCTTTTGTTTTTCTTCTGAGTTTTGGAATTGGGAAATTTACAGAAATAAAGATGAAAAGAAGCGTGAGTTTAAGCTGAAAGAAGAGGACATTTTGAGATTTGGTAGACTAATTCTTCCAGCCACAAACCTTGCAATTTCAAAGACAAGAGATCTTTTCTCAGGAGAGCCATTAGCGACCCTCAAAGTAAGAACAAATATCATTGTGCGTTTAAAGACTCCAAAACATGCCTGTAATTTGCTTCTTATATGAGCTTTGTAATGCTTCTGGTTACAGGTAGTTCCATTTTTGCTTCTAGGAGCTGAGTATGGCCATATTATAACAATGCGGAAGGCTTTTTGCTCTTGGTATGATCACTACAATACTAACACCCATCTCATAATTTGCGGTTCTCAATGTTTTTAGCTGCTGATGCAAATATTCGTGTTGGTGCGAATTTGGGCAGGGTTTTTTTTATCTCATAATGAGCAGTATTGGGCACTTTCTTGTTGCTGAGTTTGGCTCATTGGCATATCCTTTTACAAAAGATAAAATCAAGGAACTGAAAGATGAAGAGGAGGCTCAAAAGTAGAACCAAACTTTAAGAACTATGTCGGCAACACCTTCTCGAGATTTTGTAATTTCAAATGAAGGGAAAGAGGTAATATATTTGAATATAAGTTTTACTTGTACCATTGCTTTTATATCCATTGCATTGATTTGATAGATCAAATTTCAAATGTATTGGATGATTACTTTTTTTGCAATTTTATGGCATCTGCATCATCTTTCATGTCTTTTCTCATGTTCAAAGTTCTCCAAACTTTTTGTATTGTAGTGTTTTATGTTTGTATTAGATTCGATAAGTTATTAGGACTAATTGTTTTGGTTTCTATTCACCAAGTAGCCTATGAAAGAATACATAGTTTTAAATGATCATACAATAGATCAAAATAAATTTTTACAATAATCTATTTGTTGGAGTAGGTGCCCTAGAGCCAATCTATTATTGTATAATTGACTCTGTAATAAATGTTTATTTATCAACAAAAGACATATTCTTTTATATTGTGTAAATCATAGTTATATGTAATGATATATGTCCTTAGGATGGTAGAACCGTGACGAGGGTATCAAGTGTTTCAAATCTTGATAGTGAGAACCCTATGATCACATATGGTGGCCATTCTAGAAACGTCCATAGCCCCAGTATTATTCTGACTAAGGACACAGATAATACGGTAAGGCTATCATAGCGTTGAACGACCCTGTTGAAAGGCAGTGACTGATCTCACTTGTCAAGGTTGTTTGCCGACAACCTAGTGCAACGCATGGGTGCTTGCTAGAGGCAAGTACACTGGACAAACCCACTAGAGGATTCCATATGGATGGTAACCCAGTGTCTATGGAATAAATCCTGTAACGGATGGTGGTGCATGTGGTCCTTAGACTTGAGATCACCGGAGCGCCTTGTGCACCAATTGGTGTAATTTGACACTAGCCCAACGTAGTTCTATTCAGAGCTATTAATATGGTAGTGATTGGCTACATTGAGAAGTGTATCACGACTACGGTGGATCGAAAAAGGATTCATCATTCCTGGGTACAAGAGAAGTTATCTCACTGGATAATTCAGTAAATGGCAATGACACTAAATATGTGGCCACAGTGGGATGGAGTTGATGCTCAATCCAATTTATTATTTCGGTCATTGTTCCATTAACTAAATACAAACATGTCGAGGATATCTAAGGTTGACACTATTTATGTGCCTCAGTCTCGATGAGATAACAGATGATGAAAGGATTTGATTGCACGGTAACCATATCGTTGATAGGCTGCGGTTTCGCTGAATCCGAATCTATCGGGTGGCCATGATGCCTTGCTAGGGGCCAATCTTGGTCTGTATGTAGTGAGACGATTAATTTATGTTAATTGCGATACTACACACTGTTGATATGATGAGGAGCCTACGGGTCACACACTTAGAAGATAATTTAATAATCAATTTGTGAGAAGGGTATTTTCGTCTTTCAGGATGAAAGGGTATTTTGGTAATCTCACAGTGCAATTAAATTTGTTGAGGTTGTTACCTGTATTTAATTTTAATATTAAATTTAAATTAGTGAGATTATATTTAAATATATCTGTGTATCTATTTAAATGAATTATTATTATTAATTGAATGTTAATATATTATTATATATTAATTGATTTTAATTATAATAATAATTAATTAATTAAAAAACCATAAAGGGTGTGTTTGGTTGCAAGGGTAAACTAGGGTTGGAGCCCATGGCTATTCCTAAGTGGAATAGGGTTTTAATTGTTGCACTATATAAGTGCAACTTAAAACTAAAACAAGGAGAATTATTCATTCAATTAAAACCCTAGCCACCCAAAAGGTTTCTTCTTCAAGTGAAGAAGAAAATTTTTCAATTTTGATTGTTCTTGATTCTTGATGCCGGCAATTGTTCTAGCAAAACAATTGTCGGTTCTTCGGATTATCTTCATGTGGACTTCCATGAGTACGATCCTAAATTGGATCGATTAGCGAAGAATCACATGAACAGTAGACGGTGAACAATAACCGGTGAACAGTATTCGTGTCCGAAATCAGAGATATTCGGAGGAGCCTCCAAACGTCGGTATGAACTAAATCCTTGTATGTATTTGTTTTTCATACAGTTTTATTTTACATTTCAGTTTATGTATGAAAACATTATAATCTGTATTCGGATCTTGGTTCATGTAATTGATCGATTCGTTTTAAATATTATGTTTTTCCACTGTGCAAATCCAGTCAATTACTAACACTATTATTATAGAAAAATGGGGATCAAAATAACAATTCATTGATTTCCTATTATAGAAAAATGGGGATCAAAATAACAATTCATTGATTTCCTTACTTTGAATCTTTTTTGAATAATCTATTTTTAAGATTTAAAAACAATGTTAGTGGAGGGTGCTTAGGTGCTATTTGCATGTGAAGAATCAAATGGTTAGCAGAAGGAATTGCTGGGACTATAGTCTGTTACTTTCCTTTTGTTGTTGATAACTGTTAGTGGAGGGGTGGTTATGTGTTATTTGCGTGTGAAGAATCTGCAGTTGAGGGTGGTTAGGTCTTATGTGCGTGTGAAGAATCAAGTGTGGAATGGTAATTAGTTGTTGTTTTTGAAGGGATATTGAGGGTTTAAACATTCAAGCAGTAGTTGTGTTTGAAGGGATAGTTGTGTAGTTTTTTTGGCGCCTGCATATATTTGCGTGTGAAGAATATGCTTTTTGCTTTGCTTTCTTAGTGAAAAATCTGCATAAATATGGCTTCATCAATTTCAGTTCACTTTTGATCATCCATGATGTTTGTGATTATATTTGATTATTCTGACATATTAGGGTTGAAACATTATTGAGAGTGCATCTGTTGCTAAACTGAGCCGTATTCATTGTTTGATTTTAGTCCATAAGATCATATCCCCAAACATGAATTTTAAGTGTTGATTGTATACTCTAGTGTGAATTTGAATATAATATACTGTCTTCATGTTGAAATCTTATTTTGTTTTTATTTTGGGCTAATAAACTCTTGCTTGGTGATTATTCTATTGCTTCTTTGTGGTTGTTGTGTTGGGTACTTATGCAATTTTGTTCATAGGTTTCATTGGGTTCTTGTTGCTATTGACATGAAGACTTTAACTGCGTAGAATTGTTATTATCAATAGCAATTAATTTTCAGTTATAATATTGTTTTACCTTTTGAATATTAATGCTGACTTCCAAATTAATTTTTTGTAGGGACCCATTCAACCGGGATGCTTTGAATGTGGGTTTTATAAAATGAGATACATGAAAGATATAGCAGAGAATGGGCATTATTGAAAAATAATGTTAGTCTTTTTTTTGTTTTTTGGTTCGTTTTCAATAAGATATAGTTGATATTTATTTGTTGATTAGTCTTATTGTGCTTACTTTTATAGTTCATGGGGAAAGGCATATACGAAGATGTGGAGGTCGATGAAGTTAGAGCTGAATGGGCGATGTACGTAACAAACTTTCTTTAGTTATATATTGTTGTTTCAGTGATGTCGGAGGCCAATAAGGGCAAAAACTATGTATCAAATGTTTCATTACTATTTATGCAATATTATAAAATTTATGTACTGTTGTTCAATTTTGTTTACTCAAAGCAACAGTAATATATGTATTATTCGATCAATTGTTTGATTTCTCATTATATATTGTTGAATGGTCATAATATTATGAAGCATTTCATTAGACTATTCTATAATTTAATACGTAATAATAAAATATTTTCATTAATTTAAAAAAAAATTAACAAATGAAATCTTGACAGTGTGAAAACTGTCAACAACTTGGTTAAAATTCTAAAAATAATAATTGAAATTCGGCTAAATCCTTGACAGTTATTGAACTGTCAAGGATTTAGTTCAAGTTCTACTAAATCCTTGACAGTTATTGAACTATCAAGGATCTGTCAAGAGGTCCTTGACAATTCGAAAACTGTCATGACCCTTTCTTGATAGGGGCTACAATGACAGTTCAAAAACTGTCATTGTACCCCCTTCTTGATGAGGAATCCTTGTCAAGAAAGCCCTTTTTCCTTGTAGTGTCTTGTGGGAATGATACTCTACTTATCACTTTATTACTTCTTGCGACTAGTGCACTTGGTAAATATGCATATGAATTAATCACGCTTCAAATTTTTGGCGCCATTGCCGAGGATAGTTGATTATTAATATTGATAGAATCTAGTGTGGTGCTAAATTGAAGCTTTATTTAATTTTTATAGTTAATTGTAAATATTGTATAGTCTTAAGCTTGAGTTCTTTTGTTTGTAGTTTTTATTTTTATTTTGTAGTTAAGCTTAAATTTTGTGAATACTTAAGTTTAAACTTTTTCTTGCAGTGCATTTGGAGGTAGAAGTACATAGAATGTTGAGGGATTATGTCATACCAACGGTGCAAGGAGATAATTTTGGTATTACAAGGCAAACTGTTGCAACAAACAACTTTGAGATTAAGCTAGCAATAATTTAGATGATCCAACAGTCAGTCCAATTTGGTTGAAATTCATATGAGGATTTGAATTTGCATATCGCTAGCTTTCTAAAAATATGTGACACGTTCAAGGCAAATAGAATGACTAATGATGCAATTAGGCTGAGATTGTTCTCATTTTCACTAAGAGATAAGGCGAAAGGTTGGCTCATGTCACATCCAGCTGCAACAATCACCACATGGGACGGATTAGCTTAAAAGTTTCTTGAAAAATACTTCCCACCAGCGAAGGTGGCAAAAATGAGAAACAACATTACCTCTTTCGTGCAAGGCAACGATGAATCACTATATGAAGCTTGGGAGAGGTACAAAGAGTTGTTGAGGAAATGTCCACATCATGGTCTACCGATTTGGATGCAAGTTCAAACATTCTTCAATGGGTTAATACCAAATATTCAAACTATGGTTGATGTGGCAGCAGGTGATGCGTATTTCCTACAACATGCAAATGTAGCAAGTATACTAATCGCACAAGTAATAAAATGATGAGTAGAGTATCGTT